TCATTCATTTGGGGAAAGTCAAAGGGCACCAGGGACAGAGCTTTTCCTTTGGTGTGGGTCCCCCCCTCTACCTGGCATCCTGAAAGGGTTTCCTCATCAAGGTGCACTGGGACAGCTTCTAGAAGCTGAAGGCTGCAGGATTTCCCTGGAGCAGCCTACTCAATGTCTGACCCATCTTGGACACTGTTGCATGCACTCTGGGCCTCAAGGAGTGCACCAAGCACAGAGGCTCTATCGTCCTGCTTCTTCTCTGTACCAAAAAGCCCTGTCCAATGTTAGCTGGCCTTAGAAAAGCTGCCCAAAAGGCCATGGCTGACGGGGACTCAGGAGCAGGAAGTCTAAGGCCTTCATTCCTACTGAGAGCTGGGGAGACTCACCTTAGGGTCCTTTGATATATGAACACCTGAAGCAGGAGGAGAGCCAAGCAACCAGAGTTTAGAGATGCCCCGTGGCTCAGGTATCCAGAGAACACACACGCTGTAGACAGAAATGTTCAAGCAGACCAGGGAAGCAACATTTACAGACTGGGCCAAAGCTGAATTCATTTCCAAGGTGGGAAAGTGCAGTTAGACAAGGCAAGCCTGCACCTGGGAGCTGGGGAAATTTGGGGTAGAAATCTAGCTCTGGATCCACTCTGATGACCCACCGAGACTTATTGGTGCAGGGAGTTCATAGCTAATGCCTCATGTTTGAGCAGGAATGCATCCTTTCTGACTGGTTATTGCTCTGTGGAAAGCAGACAGGAGTCAGAGGTGGGGAGACCTCATGCCTAACCCTTTTCAAAGTAGGCCCTGTGGGAATATGCCAGGCCATGGATGGGCCAGCTGGTTCACTTTGGACAGTCATTATTCATAAATTTCTTCCATCCTTTGTTCATTAATCTGTCTATGTTTCTTCCTTTGAGACAGAGTCTTGCTATGTAGTTCAGGTTAGTCTTAAACACTACATAGCCCAGGCTGGCCTTTTTCTCACTGTGATCCCACTGCTGCAGTCTATTTCCTTGTCTCCTTTTTCTCCCTTTACTACTCCTCTGTTTCCCCTCCTCCTCCTTCTTATACATCTCTGTGCCTCTCTTATTCCCTCCCTCTTTTCCTCCTCCTCTTTGTGGTGGTAGGGACTAAGGCAAGCGCTCCACCACTGAGCCACATCCCTGGCTTCTATTAAGCTTTTGTTCTCTGTCTGGTACTGAGTTAAATTCTGGAAATAAATGGGTGAGCAAAGCCCAAATGTTGCCCTGCTCTCACTTTAGTAAGGGAGCCTAACAACAAAAGAGAGAATAAATAAATGAATAATAAATTTATGTTGTAGTGAGAATATAAAAAAAAAAAGGAACTGGAGTTGGGGTGAACAAATGATAAAATTGTCAACCGAGGGGAAGGAAAAGGAAGGCTCAACCCTGATCTCCAGCTTCCCACTGTGAACACTGAAGGAGACAGTGGTACAGCCCCTTGTTATGACACAGTGGAACTCATTTGTACCCCCAACAGTTCCCTGCCTGGTGACTTCCTCCTGCCTGCCCTCACCACTGGAAAGAATGCTCAAAAGACCACCTTTCTCTTTCAAGAGTTGTGACTGACTGGCTCACAGGTCTCTCAATGTAGAGGAGACCACTAAGGTGTGCGCGCGTGCTGTGTGTGTGTGTGTGTGTGTGTGTGTGTGTGTGTGCGTGTGCTTGCATGCACACATGACAGGGCTGGAGGGTGAATGAGCGTGAAGAAGAATGGCAGGCACTATGCTTTAGTCAGCTGGAGCTGTGTGGGAGCCACCTGAAGGACACAGCCAGGCCACAGCTGGAGATGGGAGTGTGGCTCAGAAGGGAGGCTTGCCAGATTGGACCCACATGTGGACATCATCAGCTTTCAGATGGTAAAGGGTCCTCATAAAATCATGGAGACTGATGAGTTCTTCACAAAGAGAATAAAGAAAAGAGGTCCCAGGCTGAGATCCAAGAGCCAACCACCTAGAGTCAGGAAAGGAGGATGGTCAACCAGGCAACAATCAGGGCCGAGGTTCTAGGAACACTGTTCCTGGTGGCAAGTCTCACATTCAGACAGTTCCCTCTGTCCTTTTCTGTTCTTCTCCAGGCTCTAACCTACATCCACTGGCCTATATTTTTGTGGGGCTTCATAGGAGACCCCACCATCAAGGTACCTTCCAGTGATTGGGTTTTGGGGAGCAAACCTCTTAAGGGAGGGCTTGGATCAGGAGGAATGGGTGGTGGAGGGGTTGTGTCTTGGAGGTGTCATTTCCCAGAGGGACGGCTAAGGCCGAAGACCTTGCTCTCAAGACCTGAGACTGAAGGAGTTAAGTCCATGCTTGGCTGTATATTCTCAGCCCAGTTCTGACCATTTCTAATCCAAGCCAAAAATGTTTTCAGAGCTCTTTCCTATTAGAGTGGTCCTTTTGTTTTTTTTACTTTTGCCTAGGCATTTATACCATTTCTTTGGGCTATTCTATGTTGACTTTCCAGGTGCTTGTAAGTTGGTGGACTGAGGCTTGCTTTCTTTACTTGACAAGACCTTTTGTTCTTGGAGTATGGAGTTGGGGGTGCTGTGCAGTCTGTCCACTCATTTCCTGTCCTCTTAGACATATTTTCCAATATGATTTTTGGAGTTAGATAACTTGATGCTTGGGGCCTAACCTGAGATTTGGGGCCACAGGTCAATGGTCAAGCATTTCTTTTGGGGCTGGGAGATAGCTCAGCGGTTTAAGTACCTGCCTGTAAAGTACAATGATCTGGGTTTGATCCTCGGTACTACATACCATGTCAGCCATGGAAACCAGGCATGGTGGTGCATTCCTGTAATCCCGGCACTGGGGAGGCTGAGACAGGAGGATCATTGTGAGCCCAAGCTGCATAGTGAGACTCTGTACCAAGTAAATAAATAAATAAAAAAAAGATAAAATAATTTCTTTCATGCTTTTTGCTCTGCTCCCCATCCCTCTTTCTTGACTGTGGAGTGGCACATCCTCTTGTTATGTCACAGTGGAACTAATCTACCCTCAATAATGCTGTGTCTGGTTACCCTTTGCCCCCATGGAAGGAACACTCAAATGGCCACCTTCCTCTTCCAAGAGCTGTGACTCACTGGTTTGCATGTCCTTGGGGGAGACATGGAGGAGACTGGGTTTGTTTGTAGATTTCAGGCTATTTCACTTTGTTTTCTGGGATTCAGGCTGCGGGTCAGAGCAAGCAGTGGCAGTGCTGGTGACACATCCACAGATGGCGCATGGGAATGGGAATGGTTTCCCATGAGAATTTAAAAGCAGATCAGCACCTAACTGCATAATCCAGACCTGATTGCTGCTGTTGAAGGTTTGGATGGAAAATTTTGGGTAATCTGGAGGCAAATCTCCACAGGACTCTTGTCAGTTTTGCCTGAGGCTGGGTGGCAGTGTGTTAATCAATCGTCAGAAAATGCATCTCCATGTCCCTGTCCCTCTGCTTTCTCTGCTGATGAAATCCAGACATGTGGACACCTCGCAGTACTCCTTGGCTGGCTAAGAAAACTCAGCTCTGAAAACATATTTTGTCTCTATCTCTTACAAACCACTTTGGTGTACAAAAGACACAATTTGCACATCACTGTCATGCTTAAGAGCAAGCTAAGGGGCCAGAGAGATGGCTCAGTGGAATAAGTGCTTCCCCGGCAAGCACAAGGGCCTGAGTTCAATCCCTGGTTCCACAAAAAAAAAGAAAAGAAAAGAAAAAAAAAGAGCAAGCTAATCACCACCAGGCCTTGTGGTCCTGGCTGAAGGCTGGGAGCTGATGCTCCTAGGAAACCACTGATGGAGGTGGGGTGGGAGCAGTGTGATACCTTTGGAATCTGCAGTGACATGACCACATGGTGACAGCTCCATTCCTCACTGAGAAGACAGTGGCAGGAAAAGATGGCTGCAGATGACAATACAACTCTGGTTGTGCCTGGCTGTTTTGGCACACAACTGTAGTCCTGGCACCCAGAGATGGAGGCAGGAACATCACAAATTTGAGCCCACCATGGGAAATTAGGCACCTTAGTGAGACCTTATTTCAAAATAAAAAGTAAAAATAAAAAAAGGACTGGGGATGTAGCTCAATATGAGGGCCATAGTTGGTTTCCAGTACCACCGCAACCAAAACAAAAAACAAAAATCAAAATCAAAATCAAATTGAAAGAAAAACAAACAAAGAA